ACATTTTGTGAAGACTTTGGCCACCCTCAGACCCTCAAGCAGCTATCCTATGAGGGCCAGTGGGGACTGAGTGGGGGCTCAGTTGAGGCTTCTGTAATCCATGCAGCACCACTGTCCTCCACTTCTTGACAAACACCATCGGGGCACTGCCTGGTGCCTTCAACAGATGGATGAAGCCACTTGCCAAATTCTTCTCCAAAAACTCCCACAGCTGTAAGTCAACCCTGTCTCCTTCTCCTCTTGAAATGGCTGGATACAAGGGGCGCAAATCTTCCCACTCCCCCTCCTCTTCCGAGAGGAGCCGAGGAGGCAGAGGAGGGGACAGTTCCCAGCCTTCCTGTTCAGTCCTATCTCTGACATATAGGCAGCCAGCAGGGAACGGCGCCCCCAGGAATAGCTCAATGGTGCAGTTGTATGGCTGGTGCTGCAGCAACTTGTCCGCTTCTTTCTCACAAAGCACATCTCAGAAGTTGGCTCTTCACCCCTGTAAGAGGCCTCACTGGCAACACCCTATACAGTGGCGGTCGCTCATGGATTATACCACGTGGCAGTGGCTCTGGCAGTGCTCAGACCCAAGGACCATCAAGCGTTTTCCCCAAGCAATATAGGGATAAGGAAGGTTGAACCAGGTCATCTCCAGTACTGGGGAGGAGGCGGTCAGCTTGACCAGGTGACACATGGCCTCTTCTCAGTGTGCAGGCAGCTCTAGGGTTAATAGGATGGATGCAGGCAAGATGGTCCCTGAGAACAATGGCCTCCTATCAATCATCTTGATGGCTCTTCCAGCTTCCAGCACCAAACAGCCCATTTCAATTTGTGTACACAATCTGAACATTTTGCACCGAATTATCATAGAATCATAGAAGAGACCCCAAGGGCCATCTAGTTTAACCCCCTGCAATGCAGGAATTTCAGCTAAAGCATCCGTGAAAGATGGCCATCCAGCCTCTGCTTAAAAACCTCCAAGGAGATGGTTCCACTGTTGAACAGCTCTTACTGTCAGAACGTTTTTCCATATGTTTAGTTGGAATCTCCTTTGCGTGGCAAGTCCCCTCCCCCCGTGTGAAATGAAGACATTATTTAAGGTTAATGGGCGTAAAAGGCCACAACTTTATTGATTACAGGAATTGAAAGCTATTGGCCTTAGGCATTGGCTCCTATCGACTACCCAGCATGGAGACCAGGAAGGGTTAACCACAAGCCGGGGGAGTCCTGCTGAAGTACGCCAACTAGGATCCCCCGGGTGTCACCGCTCGGGGGCGTGCCATAGGCCCTCACCTCCCTAGGTTTTGGACAGGGCAACACCCCCCAGAGTCCTCTACCGGACCACCCTTTTCCTTGAGGGAAGGTGATGGCGCTTCCTTCCCCCCTTCATTTGCATAACAATAACCCCTGCCAATGCCTAACCGCCAATACCGAGGAAGTTGTGACGTTTGCTACGAGGTAGGCAAAAAAAACCAAATGGCTGGAAATGTGCCAAGTGGAAAAATACCTACCAGGCCCCTTGCGGCGACGCGGGTGGCGCTGTAGGTAAAACCTCAGCGCCTAGGACTTGCCGATCGCATGGTCGGCGGTTTGAATGTCCGCAGCGGGGTGCGCTCCCGTTGCTCGGTCCCAGCGCCTGCCAACCTAGCAGTTCGAAAACACCCCCGGTGCGGAAGGCTCTCGGTCCCAGCGCCTGCCAACCTAGCAGTTCGAAAACACCCCCGGGTGCAAGTAGATAAATAGGGACCGCTTACCAGCGGGAAGGTAAACGGCGTTTCCGTGTACGGCTCTGGCTCACCAGAGCAGCTTCGTCACACTGGCCACGTGACCCGGAAGTGTCTGCGGACAGCGCTGGCTCCCGGCCTCTAGAGTGAGATGAGCGCACAACCCTAGAGTCTGTCAAGACTGGCCCGTACGGGCAGGGGTACCTTTACCTTTAGGCGAAAAAACCAAATGGCTGGAAATGTGCCAAGTGGAAAAATACCTACCAGGCCCCTTGCGGCAAAAAAACGGAGTCCATAGCAAGGTCAAAGCTAGCTAAACCTAAGGGTGGGTGGGATGGGAAAACCGGGGCAGCTGGAACAGGGCAAAGAGGGTGGTCCCCGGGCGCGCCAGCCTTAAATGCGCTAGGCCACGCCTTCCCGGCCCACCGATTGGCCAGCCGGGTTGGTGACGCGCCCGAGGATTCCCTTGCTCTCGCGGGGCCTAAGAGCCAGCCTCCGCGTGTGTGGGAGGGGGTGGACCCGCAACCCCACCTCCTCTCCAGCTCAGAAGTGGCTTTCTTGTAACTTGAAGCCATTGGTTTGAGTCCTACCCTCTAGAGCAGGAGAAAACAAGCTTGCTCCCTCTTTCATGTGAAGAGGAACCCCCACCCACATCCCTGCTGCTCTTCAGAGCCACCTTACCATATTGACAGGGGCTTCTTGTCCCTGTCAAGCTGACCGTAATGAGGTAAGAAACCAAGAAGGTTCCTCCCAGCCTCATATAACAGGTGCCCTGTGAAAGGAACAGGCATTCCTTTCACATCAGATAGTATTAGGTGGGCAAGGAGGTCTAAGACATGGTGTACAGCATTGGGCTGATCCCTCAGCCCATTAGGATTTCTGCTAACAATCACTACACCATGCCACAAATAGGCCAAGGGATTCACAGCCCACGTCACTCCTGCTTTTGAGAGACAGCCTAGCATATTGCCGAAGGCCTTTTGTACCTTCCAAACCCACCGGGATCAGATGAGCTTAGATGCCAGCCAGGCTCCCTCTGGCCTTATAGCATAGTTGCATTGTGTCTGGTTCTTCAAACCGGGTGACATCTTCCATACCAGAAGTTAAGCTACTACTACTACTACTACTACTAATTGGGTGTCGTCCCCCCCCCCGCCTACAGGCAGGTAGGTGGACCCTCCTCACCACATCAATGCTTTTGCAGAGATTAGCTAGAGAATGGGAGAGTGGCAGAAAAGAATGAAGGACTCATTGAAATAGATTGTTGGAGGTTGTGGGGGACAGAAAGAGTGTAATTTGGGAATCTAGTGGAAACTTGAGGATAAATCATTGGCCCTAATAGACCAGCTTCAGCTGAACTCAGTTTTTGCATTTGGAGAAAGGACTTGTTTCCTTTCGTATCCTTCCGGTGACTGAGTGATTGGGATATCCCAAAACCTACTGCTGTGACAGAGGGGTCCCTCTAAACTTCTTTCTTTCCTTCTCTTGTATATGAGTATACAGTACTCATTCCTTTGGTTCATTTAAAATTCTGGGTGCAGTCTTCTTGAGGGAAAAAGGTTCCATTCAATTAGTCCAGCTTACAAGCTGTGGGAGTGTGTAAGGCAAGGTCAAAATGATCCCCAATGACTGCATAGTCCCTCAATACATACAAACTCTAGTTCTGGGGAAGAGATGCATTTGGCTAAAATCTGCTCTTCTGTATCCAGGCCTTTTAATGTAAAAATTCTCTAGTCCAGGTCTAATGGCCTGCATTCAGCTGAATGATTGTGTGGTGCAACAACCACATATGCCTGGCTGCAGCTTCCTGGTAGAGATCACATAATTCTATCATGTAAGATAGCATCAGGTGGCCATGGAAGTCTAGGACATTCTGTACAGCATTTGGTTGATCCCTCAGTCCATGGGGATTTCCCCAAATAATCCGTACATTATTCTCCAAAGAGCCAAAGGGAACCACTCCCCACACCTTTGCTGTTCCTCAGAGAGACCAAAGCGTTTTGCCAGAGGCTTCTTGTACCTGAGATGCCAATAATGTTCCTATTGGTTTTATACAATGGCTGTGTTCAGCAAGCAACCTGTTGCTTATCACAATATAAACTGCTACTACTAGTTATTACCACCTTTTACTGTCTAGAGAAAGATTGGGTTTTGTGTTTAGAGACCATGCAGACCATAGCGATCCTTTTAGATTGTGATTGGCCCAATAGTGCAGAGAGCTGATTGGCTAGAGAATGGGACTTTGACAGAAAAGTATTCAGGCCTCTCCTTACATTGAAATGGGTTGCTGATGGAACCTTGAAGCTATGCTAATAAATAAAGTCTAGTAGTCACTTCATCATATGAGTAAATGTGTTCCATAGAATTATTCCAACTTGACATGTTCTGAAATGAACAACAGATGCAAGCACTGATTTAACTTATAAACTTTCAGCCACATTCTAGGGTGTCAATGTACAGTACAGTGGTACCTCGTGTTAAGAACTTAATTTGTTCTGGAGGTCCGTTCTTAACCTGAAACTGTTCTTAACCTGGGGTACCACTTTAGCTAATGGGGCCTCCCGCTGCCGCTGAGCTGGTGCCACTGCGTGATTTCTGTTCTCATCCTGAAGCAAAGTTCTTAACCCAAGGTACTATTTCTGGATTAGCGGAGTCTGTAATCTGAAGTGTCTGTAACCCGAGGTACCACTGTTTCCTCAATGTGGTGCATTGCAACAGGCCACCTCCTTATCTCTGGATGAGCTCAGTGGCGTATCCAAAGCTTCTGGCCACAGATGTCCCAACTGCAACACTTGACCTAACCCCCTGAAAGTGAAGAGTTGCCATTCATTCCTATGGGAAGGAAGTCAATCGCTGCACTTGGGAACAGTGGTAGCAAAACCTGCCCTTCAGTTCATAAATCTGTTGTCAAAGTTGTTTCTGATGCCTGTCCCCTCTTGAAAGCACACTCTGTCCCTCATGGGATTCATTAGTTAATGCTAAGAGTAACACACACACACAAAACCCTCCCCCCCTTCCCAGGTGGACATGGTAAATTGATACCTTGCCTGTGGAAAGGCGGCATACAAATAAGATGGTGATGGTGATGATGATGATGATGATGATTAATGCATCAGGAATATGGAACATAAAGCCAGCATTCAGCCTTTCTGTTTTACTGAAGGCTGGTTGATAGTTTCCTGATCAGCACATCATGGTATTACAATGAAACCTAGAGCTGGACAGAAAACACAATGGAAGGAGTGGGCATGTGTCCCACGTAAGATAGCATCAGGCATCCCCTGAGGTCAGGGACATTCTGTACACCACTCAGCTGATCCCTCAGTCCATTTGGATTTGTCCTAACAATCAGCACTTTATGGCTGAAAGGGCCCAAGACAACCATTGCCTTCACTTTCCGCTACCCTTCAGAGTGACCCCAGCATATTGCCAGAGGCTCCTTGGACCTTTCAAGGACACCAGGATGAGGCAAGAAGCCAAGAGGATTCCTCCCAGCCTTATATAATGGACGTCTTGAACCCGGCTCCTCAAACTAAGCAGCGTGTTCCTGACCAGAGCTTGAGCAACTAATACTGATCTGCCCTGAAAGCCTGCCGTCTCTCAGCTGTCAGCCTTCAAAAGCAAAAAGGCTTCATACAAGAAGGTTTTCCAATGGGGCAGAGCTTGTTTCTTGAGAACCGCGGCCAACGTTTGGTTCAGGTCTGGCTACTTACGTTCTGCGTTCTGCTTTGCTTCAGGACTGGAGGTAAGTATGGTCCCCACTTCCTGTCCTTGAACAGGTGAAGCAAGAATAAACCACTCTTCTACATAGATTAAATCTAGGAGCAACTGGTGGGGATGTACTTTTGCAAGAGTGGAATACATGCCTCCTAAAGTGGGGACGTGATAGTTCAGTGTTAGAGCTCTTGCCTTCCGTGAAGAAAGCCCCAAGTTAATCCCTTACCTACCATCTCCAGTTGAACGTTGCAGTGAGAAGAGTGTGGAGTATCCTGATAATGGGGCAAAATAGACAAGGCAGTTCCCTGTGTTTGTAGAAGTGAATCAAATCACCCACCTCTTGTTGCATATGTATAGCTGGAGAGATTTAGGGCTCATGCACACTGCTGCTCATCCTGTGCTTTTGAGGCAAGGGCCAAGGGGTTTTCCATTTCCCCCCACCACTTTCTTCAGGAAAACTCGCTACTTTCAGCTGAATCCATACAAACGTCAATCCACAGAAAACCCGACTGACGATTGCTTCGATTCAGAGTGTGCCATCTTCAAGAAAGAAGGTCCATCTGTCTAGGTGGAAGGTGTCGCTAGTCTCGGGGCACAGGAGCCTGCCATAAATTTGCATACAATTTCCATATCCTATGCTATATACAGAGATGCAAATATAGTCTGACTTTCCAAGAGAAAAAGAATTGTGCTATTGCTGTTGTGGGACCTATTCTGACAGCTATGTGGGCCAACAGGATTTTGGTGGGTTAGGTCATTGAAGATTGACGCGTCCCTCCTCAAATGAAATGATGTCTCTTACAACAGATGCTGTGAAATGCAGAATCTGCAATCCAGGTGATGTGAAGTTTTGCAGAAACCATGATGTGACATGTGAGGGATCATATTGTATGAAGATAGAAAGCTTTTCGGGTAAGGAATGTTTCCTGTTGACATTCCTCCTTTTTCTATGCTACGCTTCAATGTAGAAAACAAAGCCTTGTATTCCATATTTACTACTCTGCAGAGTATAAACAAAGCTTCCCCTTTTGGCCACAGTAGATGCCCGTGCATTCCCTTAGTTGCGTGGCGAGTTCCCGCTTCCCCCCACTGGAAATAAAGACACGTGACACCATGATTTAAGTTAATGGGTGAAAATCGGCCACAACTTTATTGGTTACAGAAATGAGCGGTATTGGCTTAGGCATTAGTCCTATTGACTATCCAGCTTCAGCCCGAATGCATGAAGACCGGAAAGGGTTAACTGCCAGAAGGGGGAGTCCTGCTGATGCACATCAACTAGGAGCTCCCCTGGGGTCACTGCTCGGGGGCGTGCCTTAGGCCCACACCTCCATAGGCTTTGGACAGGGCAACGCCCCCCGGAATGCTTGACCTGACTACCCTTCGGTGTGGGGGAAGGTGATGGCGCTTCCTCCACTCCCTCTCATCTACATAACAATACCCTTACCAATGCCTAACTGCCAATGCCAAGGAGTTGTGACGATTTGCTACGAGGTAGGTGAAAAACCAAATGGCTGGAGCCAATTTGCCAAGTGGAAAAAATTCCTACCAGGCCCCTTGACGGCGACCAACCGAAGTTCACAGCAATCTCAAAGAGCCTGCCTGAAGGGTGGGAGGGATAGGAAACCGGATCAGCTGGAGCAACGAAAGAGGAAGATCCTCGGCCATGCCAGCCCTAAACAGTGCAGGCCAGGCCTCCCAAGTCAGCCGATTGGCTGGCAAGGGAGATGACGCGGCCGAGGATTCCCCCGTGCACATGGGGGAGGGCGTGAAGCCCGCAACCCCACCTCCTCTCCAGCTCAGAAGTGGCTTTGTTAATTTTTTGGTAAGTATTCTGTGGCATATTATCAGCAGCACAGCTTCCCAGAGACAGCAACAATGATCACATGGTTCCAACACTTTTTGAAATGGTGTGGCCCTTGCCAAGCTCTGACAAGAAGAAGAAGAAGAGTTGGGATTTAATATCCCGCTTTATCACTACCCTAATAATAATAATAATAATAATAATAATAATTTATTATTTATACCCTGCCCATCTGGCTGGGTTTCCCCAGCCACTCTGGGCGGCTTCCAACTGAATATTAAAAACAATACAGCATCAAACATTAAAAACTTCCCTAAAGAGGGCTGCCTTCAGTTGTCTTTTAAAAGTAAAATAGTTGTTTATTGCTTTGACATCTGCTGGGAGGGCGTTCCACAGGGCAGGCGCCACTACCGAGAAGGCCCTCTGCCTGGTCCCCTGTAACCTTACTTCTCGCAATTAGGGAACCGCCAGAAGGCCCTCGGCGCTGGATCTCAGTGTCCGGGCTGAACGATGGGGGTGGAGACGCTCCTTCAGGTATACAGGACCGAGGCCGTTTAGGGCTTTAAAGGTCAGCACCAACACTTTGAATTGTGCTTGGAAACGTACTGGGAGCCAATGCAGATCTCTCAGAACCGGTGTTATGTGGTCCCGGCGGCCACTCCCAGCCACCAGTCTAGCTGCCGCATTCTGGATTAATTGCAGTTTCCGGGTCACCTTCAAAGGTAGCCCCACGTAGAGCGCGTTGCAGTAGTCCAAGCGGGAGATAACTAGAGCATGCACCACTCTGGCAAGACAGTCCGCGGGCAGGTAGGGTCTTAGCCTGCGTACCAGGTGGAGCTGGTAGACAGCTGCCCTGGACACAGAATTAACCTGTACCTCCATGGACAGCTGTGCGTCCAAAATGACTCCCAGGCTGCACACCTGGTCCTTCAGGGGCATAGTTACCCCATTCAGGACCAGGGAATCCCCCACACCCGCCCGCCCCCTGTCGCCCCAAAACAGTACTTCTGTCTTGTCAGGATTCAACCTCAATCCATTAGCCACCATCCATCCTCCAACTGCCTCCAGACACTCACACAGGAGCTTCACCGCCTTCACTGGTTCTGATTTGAAAGAGAGGTAGAGCTGAGTATCATCTGCATATTGATGGACACCCAGTCCAAACCCCCTGATGATCTCTCCCAGCGGCTTCATAGTTTGCATGGTTAAGTTAAAGCTCATAGTAATGGTCCAAAAGGGCAATGAAGTACCCTACTTATAGATAAAAGGGGCATATTTCTTATATTATATACTGGAGCAATCAAAATCAAGAAAATGGGACAACTTATGTATTGTAATGTTTTGCTGTTCCTGTTCTTGTGGATTCATGATGTGGTAAAACTAAATTAAAAATGGATAAGAGAGTGAGGGTCTGAGGTAGTATTCAACTAGGTTTTACTCAGAAATACTGAATGTATAAACATGACTAAGTTAGACCCACTAATTTCAGTCACTATACTCTGAGTAAAGATTCGTTGAAGGCTGCCACAGATATCATGTAACCTTGAGCAAATAAAGATGAATGTTCAATAAATGGAATCGCCTCAAGTTTCACTAGGGAACAATAAATCTGCTACTGTACAACAATTCAGATTTTCCGGACAGGCTCTGAATTCACTTAGTAATGAACAAAGCGGTCAATGAACAAATGACAAGACTTTCCTTTCCTTGTCAAACACTGTGCACCACTCGGCAGGTGGAAAGTATCAGCAGCGACATGATAAATACTGGACATTTCCAATTAAAATAGAGTATTAGAAAGCTTTTCCCCAACTCCATTTTGAACACATGGGTTCAACTGTGCAGCTGGGGAGATTCATGGACATATCACAGCAAGACAGACTGGGCAACTGTGGGGCAGCAGTACTGGAAGATCTTCCCGGCCTTGGATGCCAGCTATATTTTTGTATTAAATTGCATTGCATATAGAGACCTTGCTTAAGAACAGGGCTTTTTTCCAGCCAGAACTTGCCGGAACTCAGTTCCGACACCTCTCAGATAGTCGCCATTGCCATTCTAAGACAACAAGAGAGGAGTTCATGGTGAGTTCCTGCACCTCTTTTTCTAGAAAAATTGGACTACTTAAGAAGATGAAATGTTGGAGAGGGACAGGAAAAGTAAGGTTACTGTTACAGGAAGTTAATGGGAATGTCGCTTGGAAAGTGGTCCATTTTGCAGTAAAGACTTCCAGTCTGAGGGAAAGGTATTCGGGATCTATCCTAGACAACAGTGGTGGAGATTATTATATTTGTTTCTTTTATTTGGACATGTATCTTTCACATGCTTTAATTTTATTCTGTTTTTATGTTGACATTTTAGCAGAATAATTTCAAAGTTCTGTTTTGGGCAGGCATAGGCAAACTCGGCCCTCCAGGTGTTTTGGGACTACAACTCCCATGATCCCTAGCTGACAGGACCAGTGGTCAGGGATGATGGGAATTGTAGTCCCAAAACATCTGGAGGGCCGAGTTTGCCTATGCCTGGTTTTGAGTTTACTTATAAAGATTGAGTTTAAAATGTAAAATATATATTTCTGTGGAGAATAAGCTTCGCCTTCTCTTTTGGAACAGACTATGTTCTTATTCAATAAAATTCCCTTCATTCACTAGTTAATCTCAAAACTTTCTCTCTCCAGGTACAACTGGTGAATTGCTTTCAGTCTTCACACACTGTGGCACTGAACGTTTGAAAGAGAAATGTGGACAGGAAGCAAAGGTCAAGGGAGAAATAAAGAAATTGTCATGCTGTGAAACTAACTTATGTTTTGACTGATTTTACTATTCTGTTCTTGAATTGCTCCTCCTTCCTGTTCTAGATGTAAATGTAGATCAGAGTTGGATGACGAGTAACCTTTGTCCTCTCTTTTGGTATGGATTTTGGACTAATACAATAAAATTATCTTCATTGACTGGTTAATCTCAAAAAAGATACTTCTCTATCTCTCTCCAGTTGAAACTGGTGAATTGGTGAAAGCCTTCAAAGAATGTGGCCCTGAGGGCATGTGGAATGGAACTATCAGATGAAACTAAAATGAAAACGTTGTGCTGTGAAACTGACATGTTTTGATTGATTTTACTATTCTGTTCCTAAATTGCTCCTCCTTCCTGTTCCAGAGAAGAGGACCACCCATTTGTGCCTACTCATTTATGCATTCCTTCACTGTAACTTCTCCCCGCAAAAGTGTACAATTGACTTCCGCAAGAGGGTGGGATGGGATGTTCCTTGATGAGTTCATAGACACCTACCAAGCAGTGCTTTACACTGTCTACTCTTACCTTCCCCACACCTGACCTCATATGAAGTCAGGCGTAGGGTGGATGTGGGCTGGGGTGGGGGTCTTCTGAAATAGCCTCTTGTGCCAAATGGGGACGACTTGAATGCTTCCTTATGCCCAGAGACCAGAGTTCCCCTCCCTTGCTAGAACTGGGCAAACCACAGAAAAGGTTATCAAAAATATTAGCTTTTGTGGTAGGGATGGTGACGAGATTCATTAAACAAGAAGGCGAACTTGGATGGTCTCTGCATGCTCGTGAACAAAACCATCTGCCTCAAGTCATAGGACAGTTTTCTATCTTGGTCTGTTCTCTGTCTGAGTCTCATGATTCTCTGCAAACTCTGAATGATCATGAGCCCCATTCCTAGAGAGGGATTGTACATTTGGCATAACAGGCATCTGCCCTAATTCTGGCAGGGCCCTGATGATTTCTCAGCTCCTAATTACATTCTGAGAACATCTCATTCCACACAGTCAGTCAGGATGGTCAGGTAAGGGGCTGGAGACACTTCCATCTAGATTCTCCTGGGTCCTGTCCTTAGGATTCTCAATTCATCTCTTCCTGGAGCTCATGGAACCCCTCTGTTCTTCCCAACCCCTCCTTGGTTGGAGAGCTCAAATGTTCTCTTTTCTCTTTCCTGAACATTGCAATGTAACTGGAACGTAGCAAAGCTTTTAAGTAGTTTGGACTGGTGGGAGTTCTAGGTGGCCAATCACGATAGAGTTCAATAATAATAGTTAAAACGATTGCTAGTTTTGCATGCAGATATAACATGAGAGTAATACCTTGCAATATTGTTTTCTCAGATGCTTCAATGCTTTCTTTCAATAAAGTTTGCACATGAACTTGTGGTCTGTATTCTATTTTGCTTCCGGTCTGACATCTGGCTTCAAAATGGTGTCTAAATGTATGCAAACACAGGCAAAAACCTGCTTCTTGATAGCCGCAACCATCATGCAAACTGAGATAGGGATACCTGAAGAGATGTCCAAATGCAGGCAGAGAAAAAGAACTATCTGAAATAGATAGCGGATTTATTTTGGAATATTCTACTCAGCATCAAAGACAGCACATGCCATTTGTTCCCGATACAGGCACCACCCGCCTCACCTGCATGTGATCTACTCACACACGGCCGTGCACACACTTGGCATCACAAAGTAAAGAATAAATGAATGCATGGGGACGCTGGGAGGTGGAGACCAGTCTGGCAACATTTGGAGGGCATCTCACTGACTATTATTGATTCAGCCCCAATACAATTAGAAATTCTCAGATATGAGGAGTTCTCAGCCAAGGGCTCCTCCAGATGACCTCTTTATTCAATATTCACCATGGTTTGCTTGAAGCAACCTTCTGCAACGGACAGACTGTGGACTTAGCTACAGTGGTCAATTATAACATTTTGTTGTTGTTTAGTCGTTTAGTCGTGTCCGACTCTTTGTGACCCCATGGACCAGAGCACGCCAGGCACTCCTGTCTTCCACTGCCTCCCACAGTTTGGTCATACTCATGTTTGTAGCTTCGAGAACACTGTCCAACCATTTCGTCCTCTGTCGTCCCCTTCTCCTTGTGCCCTCCATCTTTCCCAACATCAGGGTCTTTTCCAGGGAGTCTTCTCTTCTCATGAGGTGGCCAGAGTATTGGAGCCTCAGCTTCACGATCTGTACTTCCAGTGACCACTCTGGGCTGATTTCCTTAAGAATGGATAGGTTTGATCTTCTTGCAGTCCATGGGACTCTCAAGAGTCTCCTCCAGCACCATAATTCAAAAGCATCAATTCTTCGGCGATCAGCCTTCTTTATGGTCCAGCTCTCACTTCCATACATCACTGCTGGGAAAACCATAGCTTTAACTATATGGACCTTTGTTGGCAAGGTGATGTCTCTGCTTTTTAAGATGCTGTCTAGGTTTGCCATCGCCTTTCTCCCAAGGAGCATGCATCTTTTAATTTCGTGACTGCTGTCACCATCTGCAGTGATCATGGAGCCCAAGAAAGTAAAATCTCTCACTGCCTCCATTTCTTCCCCTTCTATTTGCCAGGAGGTGATGGGCCCAGTGGCCATGATCTTCGTTTTTTTTGATGTTGAGCTTCAGACCATATTTTGCGCTCTCCTCTTTCACCCTCATTAAAAGGTTCTTTAATTCCTCCTCACTTTCTGCCATCAAGGTTGTGTCATCTGCATATCTGAGGTTGTTGATACTTCTTCCGGCGATCTTAATTCCGGCTTGGGATTCATCCAGCCCAGCCTTTCGCATGATGAATTCTGCATATAAGTTAAATAAGCAGGGAGACAATATACAGCCTTGCCGTATTCCTTTCCCAATTTTGAACCAATCAGTTGTTCCATATCCAGTTCTAACTGTAGCTTCTTGTCCCACATAAATTTCTCAGGAGACAGATGAGGTGGTCAGACACTCCCATGTTTTAAGAACTTGCCATAGTTTGCTGTGGTCGACACAGTCAAAGGCTTTTGCATAGTCAATGAAGCAGAAGTAGATGTCTTTCTGGAACTCTCTAGCTTTCTCCATAATCCAGCACATGTTTGCAATTTGGTCTCTGGTTCCTCTGCCCCTTTGAAATCCAGCTTGCACTTCTAGGAGTTCTCGGTCCACATACTGCTTAAGCCTGCCTTGTAGAATTTTAAGCATAACCTTGCTAGCGTGTGAAATGAGTGCAATTGTGCGGTAGTTGGAGCATTCTTTGGCCCTGCCCTTCTTTGGGATTGGGATGTAGACTGATCTTCTCCAATCCTCTGGCCACTGCATTAAAAATGCATTAGAAAACATTAAAAATGCGTTATAAAAATGTGACATCAGAGGGTGTTGTAGAGCAGTGATCTGTCGTCAGTGGTAAATTGCATTGGGAGCTACAGTGGTACCTCAGGTTAAGTACTTAATTCATTCCGGAGGTCCATTCTTAACCTGAAACTGTTCTTAACCTGAAGCACCACTTTAGCTAATGGGGCCTCCTGCTGCTGCCGCGCCACCGGAGCCCGATTTCTGTTCTCATCCTGAAGCAAAGTTCTTAACCTGAAGCACTATTTATGGGTTAGCGGAGTGTCTAACCTGAAGCGCATGTAACCTGAAGCGTATGTATTTTTTTTTTTTTTGAAATGATATTTATTAAAGTTTCACAAAAATACAGAAAACAGAGAAAAAAGTATAAATTACAGCAAAAAAGTAAAAAGTAAGAAAAAACATACAAAATAAAACAATTAAAAACACAATGATGTTCCATAACCTATCTTCCTTACTCTTATTTCCCCAGACCTCCTCATACCTCCCTTCTTTGTATTCCAATTCAGTTTGTTGGTTCAGCAAATCCTTACCATTAATCTTTTACCCAATTGTTAACCTTTTTTTTTCCATGTCTCTTAAAGCATTACAGCTAAAAACCTCTTAATTTCTATCCAACATCCTTCTAAAGTTCCTTAATTTTACAATATTTCTGTAAATAGTCCTTAAATTTTTTCCAATCTTCTTTCACCGACTCTTCTCCCTGGTCTCGGATTCTGCCAGTCATTTCCGCCAATTCCATGTAGTCAATCACCTTCATCTGCCATTCTTCCAAAGTGGGTAGATCTTGTGTCTTCCAATACTTTGCGATAAGTATTCTTGCTGCTGTTGTAGCATACATGAAAAGGTTCTGTCCTTCTTTGGCACCAGTTGGCCGACAATGCCCAAGAGAAAGGCCTCTGGTTTCTTCAGAAAGGTATATTTAAATACCTTTTTCAGTTCATTGTATATCATTTCCCAGAAAGCCTTAATCTTTGGGCACGTCCACCAAAGGTGAAAGAATGTACCTTCAGTTTCTTTACATTTCCAACATTTATTATCGGGCAAATGATAAATTTTTGCAAGCTTGACTGGGGTCATGTACCACCTGTATATCATTTTCATAATATTCTCTCTTAAGGCATTACATGCCGTAAACTTCATACCTGTGGTCCATAACTGTTCCCAGTCAGCAAACATAATGTTATGTCCAACATCTTGTGCCCATTTAATCATAGCAGATTTCACCGTTTCATCCTGAGTATTCCATTTCAACAGCAAGTTATACATTCTTGACAAATTTTTAGTTTTGGGTTCTAACAATTCTGTTTCTAATTTTGACTTTTCCACTTGGAAGCCTATTTTCTTATCCAAATTATATGCCTCCATTATCTGATAGTAGTGGAGCCAATCTCTCACTTTATTTTTTAATTTTTCAAAACTCTGCAGTCTCAATTTATCTCCTTCTTGCTCCAAAATTTCTCAATATGTCGGCCATTTGGCCTCCATATTGAGCCTTTTCAGAGCTTTTGCTTCCATTGATGACAGCCACCTTGGGGTTTTATTTTCCAATAAGTCTTTGTATCTTATCCAGACATTAAACAATGCTTTCCTAACAATATGATTTTTGAATGCTTTGTGTGCTTTGACCTTATCATACCATAAATAT